TTCCCTTAGGAGTCATCTGCAACCTGTATGCACTCACCAGATCTTAATTTGACCTGGGTAGTGACCTTTGACCTACAAGTGCTTGCATCAGTATCACAAGTGATCTGGTGAAACATACGACCCTTTTGCAGTTTCAAGGGGAATCGGGAGCAGTTTAATTGACTTGGAAGTTGCAGAAACATGCACATGATTTACCCATACCTAAGAAGTGGTGACCTAAGGAATCTGAGAACGCATTCGGCAGGTCGTTTGGCTTTAGGCAAGCACTCGATCTAGACATTTATATGTTGACCAGACCACACACTAGATGGTGAAGGGACGACGACGTTTCGGTCCGTCCTGGACCATTCTCAAGTCGATTATGGACGTTTCGATCCAGGACGGACCGAAACGTCGTCGTCCCTTCACCTTCTATTGTGTGATCTGGTCAACTTACTTTAGCCACGTTATTGTGACTCTTTGCCTGCATATAGACATTTATATATCTAGATCGACTGCTTCTCAGACATATAAATGCCAGTAGGTAGATTCCAGACAAGCCACGAAAGACACACGTGACTTTCAGGTAAACAATATAGGTCTACAGGTATCAGTGAAATAACAACTGATTTCAGGTGAAAACATCAGGTCAACAGAATTCAGGTGAGTGACCTATGACCTTCAAGAAGACAATCCAGGTCTACAAGTTCCAGAGAAGTGGCCACTGACCTCACGTAGACATATCAGAGCCACAGACTCTAAGGGAGTGACCACTGAACTCAGGGATACATCACATTACAGGTCTATAGATAACCTTTGACCTTCAGGAAGACAACCCAGACCTATAAGTACCTGTGATCTATTGGTACATCTATTTAGCTTTTCATAGACCCTTTGGGGAATTCATGTAATTTGAACGAGTTCAAAACTCCTCTTAATTTCTAAGCATTTTACATCTATATATAATCAACATGGCCATTAATACTCCATGTAACACTGCATTATTTCCATAAAAAATACAAAATTAATCAAAAATAAAATAGAAAGTAATAATGGGGGATCTATTCAGTCCGGTAGAAAAATCAAATAATACAATACAGGGAAAATATTTTTATATATAATAAAATGCAACGAAAGGTTTTGCATTTTTAAACGTGACCTTGTTACAGATGACGTGACAATTTTGACCTAACAAATTTGATAACCTCGCATCCGAAACTGGAATTGTATTTTTATTAATCGTGATTTATTTTTAATGACTAAAATATCGACATTTCTGACGTGTGAGGTGTGAGCCGGAACCCAGAAAACCTTGGGTCCAAAACACGAGAATTTTAACACTCTTAATCCTGTCAAATTGACACGGCAGACATTATTGTCATATTCACATGGCAGACAAGACTGTCAGACTTACATAGCAGACATGCTAATAGATTGATAGGGGGGGAAATGGTTATCAGATTTATACAGAAAACAAGGCTTTTAGACTCGCACCACTGACATGATTATCAGACTCTTACGGAAGACTTAACTATCAGATTCATACTTCAAACGTTGCCGTCAGAGTCACACGACAGACGTCATGTCTACCGGATCAATCGCACTCGCTCGACAGATATGGTTGTCACTCAACATTCTAAGAAAGACTTAGGAACAGAAGTTCATATGTATATACGAAATAAAATTACATAAACGTGATATGCCTGTGAGGTAATATTGAGGTCAGATATGTGAGTTCGATCCCATTGAATGTCCATAATATTATATATATATATATATATATATATATATATATATATATATATATATATATATATATATATATATATATATTTCATCGTCATAGACGATCATTGGTGCGGTGGTCACGGTACTGTGTACGTTTAGGGGTGATCCTGGACGGCATGGGTTCGAATCCTGGCCGGGTCAAAGAGTTCTTAGTGATATATATATATATATATATATATATATATATATATATATATATATATATATATATATATATATATATATATATATATATATATATATATATTAGTATATTTTGGTAGCAGTCTTTCCTGTAGACATATATTATTAAATATGACCGAAAAAGTAAGATTAATAATTCTAACACGAATTTTCTCAATCTTTCGTACATTACGCTTCACTGTTGGAGGTAAATAAAAAATCACTTCTCCAAAATTCATTTTTATTTCTAGTCTGACGCGACACGGGCGCGTTTCGTAAAACTTATTACATTTTCAAAGACTTCACAAATACACAACTGATTAGAACTTGCGTTTCCCTGATTTATATCTACATTTGAGTGAGGTGGGAAGGGTGATGTGGCATTACATTTGAGTGAGGTGGGAAGGGTGATGTGGCATTAACACAAGACAGAACACTAGGGGATATTAATAGGGTATTAAAAGTATCAACACAAGACAGAACAGAAACAATGGGTATTGAATAGAAGTGTTTGTAGAAAGCCTATTGGTCCATATTTCTTGATGCTTCTATATTGGAGCGGAGTCTTGAGGTGGGTAGAATATAGTTGTGCAATAATTGGCTGTTGATTGCTGGTGTTGACTTCTTGATGTGTAGTGCCTCGCAAACGTCAAGCCGCCTGCTATCGCTGTATCTATCGATGATTTCTGTGTTGTTTACTGTGTAGAAATCCTAGTAAACAACACAGAAATCATCGATAGATACAGCGATAGCAGGCGGCTTGACGTTTGCGAGGCACTACACATCAAGAAGTCAACACCAGCAATCAACAGCCAATTATTGCACAACTATATTCTACCCACCTCAAGACTCCGCTCCAATATAGAAGCATCAAGAAATATGGACCAATAGGCTTTCTACAAACACTTCTATTCAATACCCATTGTTTCTGTTCTGTCTTGTGTTGATACTTTTAATACCCTATTAATATCCCCTAGTGTTCTGTCTTGTGTTAATGCCACATCACCCTTCCCACCTCACTCAAATGTAATGCCACATCACCTTCCCACCTCACTCAAATGTAGATATAAAATCAGGGAAACGCAAGTTCTAATCAGTTGTGTATTTGTGAAGTCTTTGAAAATGTAATAAGTTTTACGAAACGCGCCCGTGTCGCGTCAGACTAGAAATAAAAATGAATTTTGGAGAAGTGATTTTTTATTTACCTCCAACAGTGAAGCGTAATGTACGAAAGATTGAGAAAATTCGTGTTAGAATTATTAATCTTACTTTTTCGGTCATATTTATATATATATATATATATATATATATATATATATATATATATATATATATATATATATATATATATATATATATATATATATATTACAACACAGTAGGGAGTACCACCTCTGGCTGGACCCTTCTATATATATTGATGTTTAATTTGACCATACAAGTACGACTTATTGGCAAATATTTACAAACCAAATAAATTTTTCGTCTGTAGCAATGAATGTTGTTGATCATGGAATATAATTTTCGCTTTTAGAGTAATTATAGAAGAGAAAAGTAAATATCTCTGCCATGTTTGGTTGTTTGGTTCATGGCAGAGATATTTGAAATTAAAAACACCATTTTGTCCTATAGACTGAGACTGAGCTTTTTCGCTCCTCGAGGCGTGATTTTATGCCAGACGCTGTGCAATGCACTATGCATTATGCTGTGCTAGACGCTGTGACAGGTGTTGTAACAGCCGCTGTACCAAGTGATGTGCTAGACGACTAGACACAATGAAGTCACATTAACGCGACGTATCAATAAGAAATTAAGTAACAAACATGACTGAGGAAGCTTCGAACCCCCCTACACTTTGAACCCCTCAGGCACACTCCCTGGACCACTACACCGACTGACATTTTGCCTTGGGATGTGACAGATGATGTGCCAGCTACTATAACAAGGGCAGGTAGAGGCTCTATAATCTAACAACATCTAAGTTCTACAGTCATCACTACGTCCACAAGCCAACAAGATGATCCACAGTTTTAACCCCACCAGAAAATCCCAAAGGAATTTAAATATTTATCATAGTACATCCTCGAATAAAATTAAATAAAAAAGGCCCCCCTTTGTATTCAACAAATACTCGTTCACAGTACTTACATGAGAACTTCCGTTCAGGGTCCCCCACGATTTAATCTATAATTTTTTAATGAAAGAGAACGCAGAGCATGGTGGAGATTACTCTGCTGGTGAGACGTAATTGATTTCTTAGGATGAAAAAAGACGTGATAAGAGAATTGAGTTTAAAAGCAATTTCAAGTTAAACATAATATGACGTGAAGTGTATAGGGTAGACATGATAATTCGTAATCTATAAAGAGGAAGACATAATAATCAAACTTCTCATCCCTGAAATATGTCTGAGGTTCGAATCTTTCAGGGATGGGGGGGGGGGAGTTTTCAGTTGCATATTGACTTGGTGACCATTCGAGCCAAGTGGACGGAGGCATTAGATGAAATAAAATGCCCAACCATTTCTATTCCGCTCGAGAATCGAACCCAGGATCCCCTATTGTGAGTCGAGAACGAAGCCAACTGTACTACGAGACCCTATCATTCATGATTGGTCTAGGTAGGCATTGGACTTAAGGATTATCATCCATTTACTGAGTCGTGTCTCTCTCTCTGGTAAATAATGTAATGCATATATAAGCCGTAGCCAGACTGCAGTTGTAAACAGCATGCGGCTCATTCATATTTAAAGTCCGATTCTTGTGATCTATAAAGTCCGCCTGTTGATCACTTAAATCTTGCTATATGATACCCGAAGTCCGCTCCGTCATACTTTAAGTTCAATTCTGAAGAGATTTCATCGTCATTCCCCATCTCAAAAACCGGCTAAGCTCAATACATGAAATTGAAGTAAACGACCATAAACTCCACGAATATAGAGGATAAATGACAAGAACTCCTTGAGCATTTTTCGAGTCAGTTTTGATGACTTTGGAGAAGTTTGGAATCCTGGTTCGCTCTTCCTGTAAACCCATTCATGGTTTATGTGATCAACGACAGCTGTCTGAGTCTCAAACCCCCGATGTTGTAAGTAGTAGGAAGACGCTCTTACTCTTATCTGCTGTAGGAGCGTGACTACTGCCAGCAGATATATCTGCAGTAGAAGCGTGACTACTGACTGTAGATATATCTGCAGTAGAAGAGTGACTACTGACTGTAGACATATCTGCAGTAGAAGCGTGACTACTGACTGTAGATATATCTGCAGTAGGAGCGTGACTACTGACTGTAGACATATCTGCAGTAGAAGCGTGACTACTGACTGTAGATATATCTGCAGTAGAAGCGTGACTACTGACTGTAGATATATCTGCAGTAGGAGCGTGACTACTGACTGTAGACATATCTGCAGTAGGAGCGTGACTACTGACTGTAGATATATCTGCAGTAGGAGCGTGACTACTGACTGTAGATATATCTGCAGTAGAAGCGTGACTACTGACTGTAGACATATCTGCAGTAGAAGCGTGACTACTGACTGTAGACATATCTGCAGTAGAAGCGTGACTACTGACTGTAGACATATCTGCAGTAGGAGCGTGACTACTGGCGCATCTTCAAAATATTGAACAAAATTAAAGTTAACAATTTCTGCAATAGCCCTAGATGGTATTTATAAGTGAGGGACCCACACTTATAAATACCATCTCACTTATGTTGCATATGATCCCTCATTGTTGCATATGAGGGATCATATGCAACAATGATCACAAAAACACTGATCCAAGTATGCGGAAAAACCACATGTGAAAAATAGAGAATGCTTAACGCGTTTTCGGCTTAATTCGCCTTCATCAGAGCAAAGTAGAATGAACAAAGATGTTAAAATCCTACTTCATAGCCAAGAATCTCAGTCTTTACCTTCACAAATTATAGTGAGCTAGCGGTTGCGTTTTATTTTTGTTTTCATATGCGGTAGGCATTGTATCTAACTAACAACCTTATCAATCGCACCTACCTCCCTACCCCTTGTTTCATCCCCGCAACTTACCTAATCTCCCTCCCCCATGTCCAACCCCTCCCCTGCTCTCTGTTCCCCAGTGCGTATATCCCCAAAATTTTTGGCAGTATAATAGGGTCGCTGAATTTGCATAGATATTACTGCGAATTGGTGGACCACACGCCTTCCGTTGTTTGAAAATGTGTACAATATGACCGCTTAGTGGTGTCTTGCCCTGCTGAGGACACATAAACTGCTGCTCATGTGAGAGTAACCAGGTGATCCGGATTCACTAAAGGAATACTATCAGGAATCCGGATTCATAATAATAAGATTATTATCCAACTGGTTATCTGTTGTGTGTCGACTTATGGCGTTCTCTGAAATCCAGTTTGAGATTTGCTGATAATGTTTTGGCCAATGTGATAAGATTATGTTAGATGGTTAAATTAAGTGATAAAATTATGTTTACCTAGATGATAAGATTAGGTTAGGTTAGGTGATAATATTAAGTTGCGTTAAGTTAGGTGATAAGATAGTATTAAGTTAGGTATTAAGGTTAAGTTAGGATAAGTTACATGATTAGATTAAGTTAGGTGATAAGATTTCGTTACGTAATAAGATGAAGTTAGATTATGTTATTTGAAAAAGATAAGATTTGATTTGGTATAGTGATAAGATTATGTTACGTTAGGTGATAAGATAATCCTATCAGGAATCTCATCAGGGTTAAATTAGGCTAGATTAGGTGGTAAGATTAAGTTAGGCTGGGTTAGGTTAGGTGTAAGATTAAGTTAGGCTGGGTTAGGTTAGGTGTAAGATTAAGTTAGGCTGGGTTAGGTTAGGTGTAAGATTAAGTTAGGCTGGGTTAGGTTAGGTGTAAGATTAAGTTAGGCTGGGTTAGGTTAGGTGTAAGATTAAGTTAGGCTGGGTTAGGTTAGGTGTAAGATTAAGTTAGGCTGGGTTAGGTTAGGTGTAAGATTAAGTTAGGCTGGGTTAGGTTAGGTGTAAGATTAAGTTACCATAAGTTCGATAATAACATTTAAGGTCAAACGTTAAGGCCTTTAAATTCTTTGCTTTTCACTTCTTTTAACTTTTTGCTGACAAATGCTTTAAAATGTCAATACGACTTATATGTATACATAACTTTCGAGTATATGTATACATATCTTTCGAGTATTTTGTATACATATCTTGCGAGTATGTCCACTGATCCAAATATCTTCCACGTCAAACAGCTGTCTTGCCTCACATTATCAAGAGCTCTTGTTATCTTACACGTATTCAAAGGATTTCCAAGCTCCCTCCTTTCCCTTTTTTTATAACGTTACTGCCAACAAACATTATTTTAAAGCCATTTGTTTGGCATCTTTTGACAGCTAAATATGTGTATTTAATCATTTTAAAAAGGTTATATGATTTTCCATCTGGAATGTAAACATGATCCTGAACTAAAATTTTAACAACATATAAAATTAACTTAAAACTAAGTAATTTGTTGGAAAGTAAATTATATGGCGACGTTATCAACATAAAAATATCGTCGCTCTACTATCTTTCATACCGTGCATTGTGTGCAAATCTCATTAGTTGTTTCATTAGGCGTTACAAAGAGAATAAAAAAAAGAATTTCTGATGAAGTTTTTCCTGACCAAGTATACAAAGATCCGAAAGCTGTAGCATTACAAATAATAATTAGAAGAAGGTTAAATGAGATACTAATGAACTTGTAAACGAACAATGATCACTTATTGAGCACTTAATTCTGTGGTTAAGTGCTCAATAACCCAGTATGTTCGCTAGCAGCTCTGATGCCCTGTCCGCTCAGGACAGATCAAAATGCATTTATGCTAAAATGCATTTATGCTGGTCAGCATAGTAACCTATCATTGAAGAAGCACTTCAGTCACGTGTGGTTGAGTGCTCAGTAAACTACAGTTCTACGTGTAGTGAAATAGAATTCCAAGCTTGTCCTTGGAGGACAATAAAATTGTAAATCCTTATTAGCATTGTAAATGTGTATACCCACATCTGTGGAAGCCAAACTAGGAAAAAAGATTAATGCAATTTAACGGTAAAGGTAAGATTCTGAGTGTTAAATTTTCTAAACAAAATACAGCAATTACCAATAATACTTACGATGTTGTAAGTAAATAATTAAATGCTTTTGAATTACTTTATTAAATTAACATGATATATGTTTATGCTTACATAAACTAAAATTAAGAGAATAGCGAGTGTGGGAATAAAACTATAACCAAACACTGACAATTGGCAGATTTCTTTTAAATAATTCTCGGTATTTCTAAAACGATAACATTCAAAAACAAAAACATTATGCAAATCCAAATTATCCTGATAATGTCGCCATCCGTCATATGAAATTCAACTCGTTTAGACTTTCCTCGTATATCTTGATCACAAGTCTCATCAACAGGACGCGGTCGGTGGTGTGATACCCCACCCCCTTTCTTGCAGGGTCGGCGTTCGATCCCCGAGGGCTCATGTGGTTGGGGTCCGTTCCTTCACTCTGTCCTCATATCCCTTCCAGGTAAAGTTATAGTCATATTCGCTAGCGTTTTCTCCTGATAATAACTTACTGATTTGCGTACTCATCTAGTTGTCTTTAAAGCGTTGAGTTATAGCTTTCATTCTTCAGGTGTGTGGAAATTCTTATCGTTACGCTCTAAACCGCCGATGACCCTTGACCCACAACGTCGTTAAACTGCTTTTTCGACAAGAGACTAGTTTCTGGCGCATTTAGAGTGCCGGAGAAGTACCGTAAGTGATCTTGGCTTGCAATATTTACATCACTTGGTTACACAATATGCTGAGTGAAGCGGATGAAGTTGGAGTCAAATGCAAATGCCAAAATGCTGCTCATTTACAGATCTCATTACAAGTTATAATTTATGTGATGTGAATGCATTACTCCCAAGGCGTCTCGAAGGCATTTCTGGCAAACTGATTATTTATTTATTTATTTTCATTTTTTAACGCTACAAACAGAAACCGCGAATTAGCGGACAGAAAATATAAATTATATGACAAATCTAGAGATTAACTGTCAGAAACACTAAGTTACCGGACAGGACCTGGGCGTTAATGAATATAAACTCTAAGTTACCGGATTTTGAACTAGGAATTACCGGATATGAACTTAGTATTACCAAACAAGAACTGGGAATCAAAGGCAAGGAAATGTGATTAACCGGACATACACTGAGAATTAACGGCCAGAAATTTTGCGTTACCGGGCAGGAACTAAGTATAGCCAAACAAGAACTGTGAATTAACGACCAGGAACTGTGATTTACCGAACAAGAACTAGGAAACTAGAGCACAACCTTTCCCTTCTATTCCAGAATTTCGTTGAGCATTATCTGTGGAGGAGGAGGAGGAGGATTACACCTGGCTTCCAAGACCGCCAAGAACTTCGCGTGCTTGAAGGACATTATTTCCCTCATCTCATTTTTCTCAAAGTTTGCAGAGATAAGCTGATTATGCATCGCCTCTACGTGGGATACCCCCTGAGCGTTCACTGGCTGGTGAGGTCACTAGGGCGTTCATTGGCTAGTTAGTTCACTAGGGAGTTCACTGGCTGGTGAGGTCATTATGGCGTTCACTGGCCGGTTAGTTCACTAGGAAGTTCACTGGCTGGTGGGGTCACTGGATGGTTAGGTCACATGGTTTCATACACTGGTTGCTCACGTCATCAAAAAATTTTACACGCCACATGACGCAAATAAAAACCTCGGAACAAAGTGCCTTTTCTGAACACCCGTCGGGATGTGCATAAGTTTTTTCTTCGACATAAATTAGCTGTAAATAAACAAATTATATATTATATCAGCTTTGCAAAGCCCTGCTGAGGAGGAATTATAAATTTAAAAAAAATATAATAAGTTACATTAAATTTTTTTGTTAAGTTTGTTTATTTAACTTAGCTTTATTGTAGTATATTTTAAAGTTTTTTCGTTAGCAAATTAGTTTTGTTGTTTGTGCTATCATTAACAGCTTTTTTTCTTTGTTTCTAATTTGTAAAAGGTTTGTTGGGATTGATATTTATGCTGTCATAAACCACCTCACATTAATAGTCGTGTTTCTTACATATATTTAAGTAGATTCTACTGTCTCAGTCACTTGGGTTGATGCACCTGTTAATCCTGTGATATCCTAAAAATACAAGAATTTAGGAAATTGCAAAAGGCTTATTGGCTCGTACGAGGCAACAGCTTCTCTTTACATCTACTATTAACACTACTACTCGTGATTGCAAAATTTATAAAATAAAAATTACTCCACGGTTCCCCACTGCTGTTTGAGGGTTATCTGCCAAATATTTATGGTTGTAAATTCCACTGGAAGCCAAAAGATATGAGCAGCAGCAACGGAGTACAACGGATGGAGAGAGAGGCGAAAACACAACAATCCAAAAGTCTGTTTTCAAAACAATTCAACCTTAATTCTGTTTTGCGTGCGAGGTACAACTAAATTCCAGTATTTTTTGGAGATTGGTGTAAAGTTGAAAAGTTGATTACGAGTGCGCGTATGATATAAGAATTTTAGCCAATCTGAATTTAT